CCTCCTCTTCATCCTCCGGAAAATCCTCATCGTAACACCACATCCCTTTGCTTCGTAGCAAATTCATGAGCCGTTCTGCTTTTGCTTTTGGGTAGTCCTTGAGTATGTCACGGGCCTTTTTGCCAGCCCTGCCAGACCGCGCCGCGTTCTTCACCTCGACGTGTCTCTCCATGTGTAGGGCGACCCTTGGATGGGCGCGTGCTCAAAAACCACAGTTTGCGGCAGCGCAACAAAAGGAAAACATGGCTCAGGCAAGGCGCTCCTCGAGCGACTTGTTGTTCTGTAACCAAAGGTTGAACAAGTCGAGCTTATCCTTGCTGAGGTGGCCTGCTAGGCTTGCAGGGAACTTTCGGCGGTCTTGAACTTGGCGAGCAAACACATCCCACTCCCGCTTGTGGGACACACCTTGGCACGAAGGAGGCACGCAAGGGGCTTGACTACGAAAAGACAGGCCAGAGCGCCCCCAAACACCCCATGTTACTCCCGAAGAAGCGCTACAATTTCTTGTTGACCATGCCACGCTTCATTAATTTAAGAGGAAGCCAAAACACCGGCTTGCTGGCAAACAAGGTCAGGCCGCTGTTCGCTCTCACAGGCACGATGGCTGACAACTCAGCTGCCGCTGCGATCTCCCTGCCTTTCTCACCTTTGCTGCTGCTGCTCTGCTCGTCTGCTGGGACGATCTGGGTCTCCTTGTCACCCTTGTAGCTCGGCAAGGGCTTCAACTTCAAGGCAGGCGGTCGCTTTGGAGCTGTTTGCCCCGGCTGCTGCTCTTTCGCCTCAGCCTCCTCATCCTCATCGTCCTCCGACCTCTCCTCCTCAGACTCGCCCTCTTCGGAGCTCTCGTGAGCAGCCTCGGCCTCGCTCTCTGCGTCGGCTGCGTCCTCTACGTCAGGCTCGCCCTCTGCCTCCGCTTTCTCCTCCGCCTCTCCGTCACTCTCGCTTTGCTCAGCCTCCTCAGAGTGGCTGGGGCTGTCGTCGCAAGCGGTCATCTCTTGCAGCGCGTCCTCGCCCTCTTGCAGCTCATCCTCGCACTCCTCCAAGTCATCGCTGCCTTCCCCCCCACCCTTACTCGTCTCCAGCCACTGCAGGAGGTTGTCGATGTCATCTGGCGATGGCTCATCTTCCGGCAGCTGCGTCATGTCCCCGTCCTCCTCCTCAGTCTTCTGCTTCTTCGCCTCCTTCTCGTCCTGGTTCGGCGCCTCGTCGTCCTGCCCCGTGCCCGGCTCGCTGGCAGCAGCGTCGCCCTTCGCCTTCTCTTCGCCGCTCTTCTCCTTTTTCTCCTTCTTGTCCTTCTTGTCTTTCTTGTCTTTCTTGCTCCCTTTCTCCTTCTTGTTCGTCTTCCCAGTCCTCTTCTCGTCCACCTTCTCTGTCTGCTGCCCCTTCTTGTCCGCCTTCTCCGTAAGCTCCTTCTTGCCCACCTTTTGCTGCTTGTCGGCCTTCTCTACGCACTGTCTCTTGTCCACCTTCATCACCTGCTCCTCTTTGTCCACCTTCTCCGTCTCTGTCCCCGCATTCTTGTCCACCTTCTCTGTCTGCCTCTTGCCCACCTTCGCCGTCTGCCTCTTGTCCTTCGTCGACTGCTCCTCCTTGCCTGCCTTCTCCGTCTCCGCCCCCGCCTTCTTGTCCACCTTCTCTGTCTGCCTCTTTTCCACCTTCCCCGTCGTCGCCTTGCCCGCCTCCGCCGTCTGCGTCTTGTCTTTCGCCACCGGCTCCTTGTCAGCCTTTCCTGTCTGTTGCTTCACCTTGTCCTTCTTGTCCTTCTTGTCTTTCTTCACACCCATGTCCTTCTTCTTGGTTTTGTCTGCCTCATCGCTCGCCTCCACTGCCTTCTCGCCACTGCGCACTTCCACTGCCTCGCCGTCCTTCACGTTCTTGCCCTTAGGCGTGCCGTACACAAAGACGCGCTTAGCAGGCACCGTAGAAGCCGTTGTGGTTGTCGAAGTCGCAGAAGGCGCTGGGCTGGAGACCTTGCGCCCTTCCGCGCTTGCACGCTTTCTGCTTGCCTTATCTGCCTTCTCAGCCATGGTCAGAGCCAGCTGAGCCAAGCAGCCGGAGCAATTTGCCCTTGGGTACCAAAGCCAAAGTGGGGCCTGGTTCCCCCCACAACCTCAAAAAGAGGCCGACAAAACCTGGCTTAGGAATGCTCTTTTCCCTTCTTCCCTTGGACTGAAATAGAAGTGTAGCTTTATCACCTTGAATGTTTAAAAGTCAGAAGCGCTGGCAACGTTCAAAACGCGTTTCCGCCCAAAGAATCGGGAGTGAAATTTGCAGATTCCATCAAGTGACAGTTAGCGCCATGATATGTTCGAAGTTCAGAGAGCACGCCCTTTGGAGAGTTGGGAGCGCATGCGGAGATGTCAACCCCGCAAAACAAGCTTGCTATTTCCTTTGACGGGAGCCCAAAACCACGAAACTGCCAGTTGGGGTCAACCACCAAATCTCACATCCGTTCAGATTGAAATTTCGGAACCCTTTCTTCCAAACAGGCTGGGGTTCCAAGCTGCGACTGTTGGTTTTTGGAGGCTTGCCGCGATTTGGAGCACATTGCTAAGCTTCGTAGCCACTCCCAGCAGGCTATAAAGTGAGGTGTTGCGCGCTTTGTGCGCCGCCAGCTGCGGCAGACCAGCATGAGACACGCACCTACAAACCGCGGCAATTCGCTCCAAACCGCGGCAATTTCGCTTCAAACCGCGGCAAGGCAAATGACGAGAAAACACAAGTGAGGTTGCGCGCGTTGTGCGGTTTCAGCTTCGTAAGACCGCAATGAGAAACACGGGTCCTACAAACCGCGGCAATTCGCTCCAAACCGCGGCAATTTCGCTCCAAACCGCGGCAAGGCAAATGACCAAAAATAAAAAATGTGTGTGTGTGTCTTTCCCGCGCCAAGGCCAGAGCGGGCTTGGCCAATGTCCTTCATCACCAAGCGAGGCATACCTGCCACAGGACCGGGGTGTGGGAGGGTGGGGGCTGGTGGCAAGGCAGACAGATACGAAACCATAGCACTCCCTCTTTTTCGCACACGGCGCTGTCCAACACTTGAGAATCAGTGTTTGAAAGCATTGTGCGAGGTGCCACTTTTGCAAGTTCAAAGAACACTTTCTCCTCATTGGAGCCAAGCGTTAGTTGCATGAATTGCCACACGCTTAGCCATGCGGCACGGTCCATCAGATACTGCAACTCCAAGGAGCTGCGCGCAACGCTTGCGCATCCCTGAAGCTTCTCACCGCCTTTTTGGAAATCATTTGGCCCAACACTTGACGGAAAGATCAAAGAAAAGGGGTCACCAATTAATCTTGTTTTTGTTGATGTCTGGAAGTGTTTACACCATATCAAACCCATCTGTCAAATGTCTGACTTTGCATTCAGCGCCAAACACCAAACACAAAGCGCTGGGTCTAATTTCGCGTTCGTGCCATCTCACGAAGTCAGGTAATCCAAGACGGGTTGCAGGTCAGCGTGCGCCACCCAATAAGCCAGCTGTTTGGCAGCTGCGTGGGCAGACAACTGCTTCTTCTTTTGGCTGTCGCCGCTTAGGAACTTGAGGGCTCGCTTGCGAACGTGGTCCTGATGCTTGGTCCGCAGGCGCGCCAACGCACGCCCAAACCTCAGATTCGCGCAAACGCGAGAGGCCGAAAACGGGAAACGCTGCTTTAAAAATGCCCGAAGGCTTGCTTCTTTTTGATCCCGTTTGCCTGGGGCATCCCCAGCTGATTGGCTCAGCACCGACCGGCTTTCGCTCCGTTTTCCTGACTGGCAAAGGCGGGTTCCTCGTTGCCAAAAAACACCCAGTCGGTTCAACTCCTTGACAAGGGTGCCAAGTAAAAGCTGCGCACGCGTTGTAGGAGGGTGGCTTTGAGGGGCCCTAGCTTTTCTACCAGAAAAACACATGTTTGGAGGTTCCCCAAGTTCAAACATCTACCAGAGCACCCTGTTTGTAAGAAACCACTGTTGCGGCTTCTTGCAGTTGCAACAGCCCATACACTATGTTTCCTGACATGTGCCAGGTATACTCCAGCAGAGCTGGCGGAAGTTTCTGGAAAGGACATGTGCCCCTCATGCCCGCGCGCCTTTTGGTTTAGTTGGCTGCCGCCGTCGGCTTGGCAGGTGGAGTGTTGTTTGCTGTATGTTTCTTTCTTTCTTTCTTTCCTTCTTTCTTTCTTTCATTCATTCATTCATTCATTCGTTCATTCTCCCTCTATCTCTTTCCATTTATTCTACCTATCTGTCTACTTAACTGTCTATCTACCCATTTATTTGTCAATATACACATATATATATATGTCTATCTATGTATCTAACAATCTATATCTGTATCTGTATCTATATCTATATCTGTGTACATATCCATATCCATATCCATCCATCCATCCATCTATCTATCTATCTGCACCTGACCTTGCGAAAGTGCTGCGCCTGCCACAAATCTGCACCGTAGACCGGGACGCCTTCCCAAAGTGCTCACGAATCCCGACGCCCATGAGAACAACACCTGAGCCTCAGGTTGCCAAAGTGCTGCGCCTGCCACGCAATTCAATCCTAGCGAAATGAAAACCTTGCGCGGCCGTGTCATGGAAAACAGAGCTGCCTTACGCGTGTTCCGCATGTGGGCGACTTTTCGTACTTCGGAAGTTTTCTGACTAAATTTCCTTTGATGATAACACTCCGCATCTGATGTTTTCTGCCACCCATGTCTTTCTTAGTTGTAAGAAGACACTCAAGATGTCTCATGCCGCAAAGGCGCGCAAGGGGGTAAGTCTGACTAGACTTGAGAGCTCTACCCCCCTTGACCCGGTCACGACCAGCCCGGTCTTTGTAGCGACGCACCATCTCAGGAGCGCTGGCGTGCGCTGGAGCGGAAGAGCCAGTGACGGGCCTGAAGGCGTGGATCTCATCGATCTCTGCAAAGTCTAAGTTGCGCGCAAATGGTGGGGGGCTCAAGTGAAAAGTCCTGGAACGTGAAAGGTTGGTGATCGCTTTTTTTTTGAGGGGCTCACTTGTCAAAGTGAGATGGAAAGAGTTTCAAACAGCGCAGAGGGGCTGCTGTAAAGCCAAGTGGGCTTCTGCGAGGCCCCATTAAAGTCGCACATATTCAAGAACTTGCGCACCACTTTCTGTTTCTTCATCAGGATCTGCATGGCAGGATGGAATTGCATGAGGGATCCACGTGGTTGCTCCAGGCACCACCAAATCCCACGGCTCGAGGCGAATAGAATCAAAATGACACAGCGGTAAAGCATAGTGTTGCCAGCTACCGCGCTGGGAGAGTAAGGAGATCCTTCTGGCCGGGATCGGCTCCTGCCAGTGGATCCTCGACTCCTCAGACAAAGCCAAAAAACTGCGCAACGCAGCGCTGGCGCCCGGAGAAATCTTTTCTGAAGCAGCGCTAAAACGGGAAATGTTCTTTCCTGGCAAGGCGCAGGTACACCCAACTAGAACACACAGGTGCGAGGGTCAAGTGACCTCCTCGCTTTAAGTTCAGTATCTGGAAGCAGGCGTGGATGTAGCCCTTGGTGCCCAAAATGTTCATCATCTCGGGATCATATTCCACATCATAGGCCATAGCGGTCCGACCCTCCTTTTACAGGTTTCAATTTCAGTCCTCCTGTTAGACTAAACCACACACAAACAACACTGTGCAGAATTGCGTCCTTGCCAAGACATTACACTACTGCGCGCCCCGTTGCAAAGCGACGCACGCACACGCGCAAAGGCAAACAAACGAACACACATACACACACGCACATACACACACATGCCTACACACGTACATACCTACAGACCTACATACCTACACCTACATACATACACACACATACACACACACACATACATACATACATACATACATAGATACATACATACATACATACATACATGCGTACACACATACACACACACACATACATAGGCACACACACACGCAAATAAACATGCGTGTGCGTTTGTTCACACACACAGAGACAAACACGCAAGCACACACACGCATACATTCAAACTCATCCGTTTGTCTGTTCGTTCATTGAATATACAAAGGCAAGCACGGGCGCAAAACCAACGCAAACACGAGCAACAACTCAAACACAGACACAAACACCGACACACACACACAGACTTTCGCAAGCGCGACTTGTGTCTTCAGAGCCGACGTACTTCTAGCGCGCGCGGATGCGCATAGACAGACAGACAGAGAGACAAGCAGACAGACACGCGCACACACACACACAGACACTTGCGCGCGCGCCCACACGCGCCCCAACGCGTGCGCATGCGCACTGTTACACACGCACGCACCGCGCGCACCGTGCTTGATTCCAAACTAAGTACGAGGGCTCCCGCAAAGAATCCAGGCGTGCGCTTTGCAGTAGGTCAGTCGCGCAACTCACGTTTGAGGGCGCCGTTTTGTTTACGCATCTACGCCTGCTGTTAGAAACAACGTCATCGCCCTTTGAAAGATCTGCGTCCACATACCTACAGTACATCATTATATTACACCACTGCGCTCTACTGCGTTTTTTGCGCCACGCTACACTACAGTACGTTACACTCACACATGTGCGCAGACACATGGACGCGCAAACAGGTTGATGCTGTCTGCCCCCAGTCCTCAATCTCTGCGCGGCTGACCGCTGCCTGTCCACTGAACAGCTCTACGTGGTCGCTCGGCCAGTTCCAGTTCAAGCCAGGAAGAGCGAAGATCAGCGCAGCCAGCACTGACAGGACCTCACAACCCTCTATTGTGACCAGCTGCCCTGCCCTGAAACAAAAACCCGGGCTTGGACCAAAGCCAAATTGGAACCCTTCATCTCCAAGATTGACACGCGAACAAATTGCAAAGGGCGCGTTATAGTGTGAAAAAGGAATAGTTGCAATCGTTCATTCGACAGGCCACCTGGTCACGTTGCGGCATTACCGTTCCGGGTGAAACTAAACTCCGCAAAGGGGAGCTAAACAAGTCATTTCAGTGTCCGCTCAGCGTTGCAAACAGGCCCTTATCAACTGGGTGGGTGGGGTGGCCTTAGTTCACAGAAAAGCCTGCGAAAGGCCGGTGGTTGTTGTAACCGCTGGACTTGCGGCTGACACATGGTGACACATTCTTCATGCCCCAAACTGGTGTTTGCTCAATCTTGGTCACTCTTTTTGGTTGACGCGGCCCATTTGTGTTTCGGTTGACCCTTCAAAACACCCAACATTGAACCTAAGCAGGCGCAACATGAATGAAGGTTTTTGTTCACCGCGACGTTCCCCCTACAAAACCCACTTTAAAAAAGGAAGCTCTCGCTTAGCTTTTGGACACTGGCCTGCGGGGCCCCCAGCAAAGATAGTCCGTGCATGGTCCACTTGCGCTGCTTGTCGCGCATCGAGCGGGCCGGCTGCGGACTCACGAGGCTGAGCGGGACTCTCTTCGCATCCCTGAGCGTCTGCTTTTTGATGGGCTTCTTGGCTTTTCTGGGGCCCATTGCCAGCAGGGGAGCGCGGCAAGGCGCCAGGCCGACTGGCGCTGCTTTTTGAGCGAATCAAGGGCGTCATAAACTTTCAGCACACATATCAGTGCCAGGTAGGTGGTGGTCCTTGGCTGGCCCTGACACTCTTTTGGGTTTGGTTGCGCAGAACCTGCGCATCCGGCCTCTGAGGCTGGCGAGCGCCAACCAACATGCAGATCAACCTGCGCAAGCCGGAGGACTGGTCAGCGTGGGCGTTGGCTTCAGTAAATTAAATCTACATTCTTTCGAGCCCGCCTCCCCAGTTGATCTGAATGAATTGCAGACGCCGCGAAAAAACGGCTGGTGGTCACGGGCGCTGCAGTGCTGCTCAGATGCGTGCTCACAACGCGCAGAGCTTTCCAGAGGTTGCAGCTAACAAGTGGAGGTACGTTTAAAGGGTTTTCAAATAAAGGCTGCGAACAAATGGCAAGCTCTGGAAAGCCGCATTCAGTGTGAAGCGAGTAGTATGGTTTTCCACGGACTTCCATTGCACCATCGTAGCCTGTTAGCCGAATTGCATTCTCGCAATGACGAACTGACCCCTCAAGCTGCAAGCTTTGGTGACCGCTGCAAACGTTAAGGTTCTTTGTTGGAAACAGAACTAGGCAATTACAATCAACCTTGGTGCAAAGCTTGCTTTCACCCAGCAGCATCCCAGTGAAGAGCAACTTCAGCAAATCTCTCGGTGAAATGAACAAATGGTGTTAGTTCTGTTCTTTTTGCAACAGGTAGCACAGCTTGGTAGAAGTTGCTCAAAGCAATCACGGGCAGACAAATCCTGCCCGCGTGATTGCAACATCCCACGCTGCACAGGCTCCCCCGTGTTTTGAAAACGTGACCTGTCCAGTCGGTCCCTCGGACCCCTCAGCAACCCGCTTAACAAAATAAGCTTTGCTTCGGAGCAAAACTTCAACAGCAGCGCCTCCGGCGCTCAGTGTGTAACTATGCGCTCCATAGTATGAGTGATCGCGGAGGGGGTGGCTCTGAGGGGGAAGCATGGACACGTCATAGCTGGCATAGGTTTTCTTGTCGAAGTCAAACGTGTAGGCCTGCTTCTTCGCAGGCTTCAGGGCACCCTTCACCGGCTCCGGCCTTTTGAAGCTGGCTTTCTTGTCGTCGGTTTTTTTCGTTTTCTTGGCTGCTGCTGCCTGCTTGGGCGTCTCCTGTTTGCTCTGCTTCTGCTTGCTCTTCACGCGCTCCTGACAGAATTCTCACGCGGGGAACGTGCGGTGTCTGTGTGTGTGTGGGGGTGTGCGTTTGCGTGTGCGTCGTGCGCAAGCGCGTGCGTGCGTGGTATGTACGCGTGTGCGTGCTTGCGTGCGTGCGTGCGTGTGTGTGTGTGTGTAACGCACGTGCGTGCGTGCGTCTGTCTCTGTCTCTGTCTCTGTTTCTGCCTCTCTCTCTCTCTCTCTATCTCTCTTTCTATCTCTGTCTATCTCTCTCTATCTCGCTCTCGCTCTCGCTCTCTCGCCCTCTCTCTCTCTCTCTCTCTCTCTCTCTCTCTCTCTCTCTCTCTGTCTCTCTCTGTCTCTGTTTGTGTCTCTCTCTCTCTCTCTCTCTGTCTCTGTCTCTGTCTCTGTCTCTCCCTCTCTTATCGGTCTCTTTATGAAAAACCTGTACATAGTTGTGTATGTATGCGAGTATGTATGTACGTATGTATGTATGTGTGTGTGTGTGTGTATGTGTCCATGTGTATGTGTGTGTGTACAAGCAGGCTATCTGAATGTGTGTGTGTGTATGTGTGTATGTGTGTATGTATGTATGTATGTATGCATGTATCTATGTATGTCTGTGCATGTATGCATGTACGCGAGTCAATGAATGTGTGTCTGTGTGTCTTTGCATCTGTGTATGTGTGCAGCTAAGTATGATTACGTTGTAGGTGTGTATCTTTGTAAGTGCATATGCGTGTGTGTGTGTAAGTAAATGTTTGCAGGTGTGAACGTATGTGTGTAAGTGTGTGTGTGTAGGTAGGTGTATGTGTGTGTGTGAGCGTCTGTGTGTGTGTACGTAGAGGTGTGTGTGTGTGTGTGAGCGTCTGTGTGTGTGTGTACGTAGAGGTGTGTGTGTGTTTGTGTGTGTCTGTGTCTGTCTGTCTGTGTGTGTGTGTGTGTCTGTGTGTGTCTGTGTGTGTCTGTGTGTGTGTGTGTCTGTGTGTGTCTGTGTGTGTGTTCGTGTGTGTAAAATGTAGGTGCGTACGTGTGTGTGCGTATGTTTTTGCGTGTGCGTGCGTGCGTGCGTGCGTGCGTGCGTGCGTGCGTGCGTGCGTGCGTGCGTGCGTGCGTGCGTGCGTGCGTGCGTGCGTGCGTGCGTGCGTGCGTGCGTGCGTGCGTGCGTGCGTGCGTGCGTGCGTGCGTGCGTGCGTGCGTGCGTGCGTGCGTGCGTGCGTGCGTGCGTGCGTGTGGGTGGGTGCGGTGGGTGGGTGGGTGTGTGTGTGTGTGTGTGTCTGTGTGTCAGTGTGTGTCTGTGTGTGTCTGTGTGTGTCTGTGTGTGTCTGTGTGTGTCTGTGTGTGTCTGTGTGTGTCTGTGTGTGTGTGTTCGTGTGTGTAAAATGTAGGTGCGTACGTGTGTGTGCGTATGTTTTTGCGTGTGTGTGTGTGTGTGCGTGCGCTTGTCTGTGTGTACGAGTCAGTTCCTGCTTTTTACGCACGTGTGTAGATGCGCGTGTGAAGCTTCTCTTGTTCTTGTGTCGCAACGCATGCGTGCAAACACAGACAGGCGCGCGCGCTTTGAAGTAGCGAAGAGCCTTGAAGACGGGCTTGGGCGGCGTGGGCACCTCCGCAGCGCCGACAAAGGCAGGCGCCTTGCAGGCCGGAGTAAGCATCACAGCGTCGCCGCTAACCACGCCAGCGTTCTTCTGAGAAGGGCTAGCGCTGGACGCAGGCACGGTCGTAGTCGCATCATGAAAGGTCTGCTCTGCGTCGGCAGCTTCTGCAGCATCGCTCTCAGAGTCAGACATTGACACGTCTGGCTCAGAGCTCTGTGGCGAACGGTCCAGCTTTTCGCTGTAGGCTTTCCAAGCCATCTGCCCGTCAGGGCCAACTGGGCGGCAGCACATGCAATTGCTCCAGGACCGGGGCGCGCAAGGTGACTTTGTGACGGAGTCGTCAGTGTAGGTGCTGTCGGAGTCAGAGTTGGAGGACTGCTCGCCCATGTCCTGGTCGCTGTCTGCATGGTCAGCGTGCTTGTCGCCGCTGCGCGTTGGCTCGGTCTCCGGGAGTGGGATGAGCTGCGAGCCCTTGCGCTGGTGCGTGGCAAAGCGGCGCCAGAACGCTTGGTAGCGCTCCAGCTGTCCATCTCCAGCTGCCTGTGGGACCGGAGCAGTTTGGGAAGAGCATGGAGCGTCGCCTGGGTTTGGAGCACTGCCTGGTTTTTGCAGCTGCCGCTGCTCGCGCTGCCTGCTTCTTGGCTGCTGCTGCTAGTGCTGCTGCTGCTGCTCTCGGCCTCGCTCGCCTTGTCATTGCCCTCGCCGTCGATTTTGCTCTCGTCGTTGCCCTCGTCCTCGCTAGCGCTCTTGCTCTCGCCGCCGTCCTCGTCCTCGCCAGCGCTCTTGCCGTTGCCCTCGTCCTTGCTAGCGCTCTTGCTCTCGCCGCCGTCCTCGTCCTCGCCAGCGCTCTTGCCGTTGCCCTCGTCCTCGCTAGCGCTCTTGCTCTCGCCGTCGTCCTCGTCCTCGCCAGCGCTCTTGCCGTTGCCCTCGTCCTCGCCAGCGCCCTTGCTCTCGCCGTCGTCCTTGTCCTCGCCAGCGCTCTTGCCGTTGCCCTCGTCCTCGCCAGCGCTCTTGCCCTCGTCGTTGCCCTCGTCGTTGCCCTCGTCCGCATCCCCGCCCTCGTCTGCGACGCCCGACTCAGCCTACAAGGTCGATGCACTCTCGCACGTGGAGCACGCTTACGAAACTAAGCCCGCACACACAGAAAACCAACCAACAAACACACAAACACAGGGACAGACAGACAGCCCAAGAAAGAAGAAAGAAAAGAAGAGACAAATAGAAATAAAAAGAAAGGAGAAAAGAAGGAAGGAAGGAAGGAAGGAAGGAAGGAAGGAAGGAAGGAGGGAAGGAGGGAGGGAGGGAAGGAAGCAAGCAAGCAAGCAAGCAAGCAAGCAAGCAATAAATAAAGAACGAATGACAGGGAAAAACAAACACAACCAAGCAACCACAAAACACAAGCACTAAAAACATGCACACACACACACACACAAAAACCCAAAGACAACCACATCACCCAGCCAACAGAAGCA